GTCTGGTACTCGTCGTCGGCGAAGCCGATGGACAGCCAGGGCCCCGTCTCCGACTGAGCGCTCGGCGCAGCGGTAGGCTTCTGAGCGGTGGCGACGACCATGGACGGGTCAGTGGCACGGTCGAACGTGGAGTGGCTGGGAGCAGCAAGACGGGGACAGCACCCGTGGGTCGATGGAGGAGGGTCTTGTGGTTCTCGCCGACCGTCGCGGCGACGCTGCTGCCCACCTCGGCGGCGAGGTCGCTGCGCAAGGCGTCGAACTCCTCGCGGAAAGATCTGGCGCATGTTGTCGTCAGAGATGTAGTCGCCATAGGGTCGTGGGGAGGTCAGTGAGGTCGCCTTCCCTGCTGTCATCGCGAGGGCGGTCACCAGGATGACACTTCCGAGAGACAATACGAGCAACGCCACCTTTGCCCTGGCCACCGCCGGTCTCCTGAGAAACGGAACGTTGGCATGTCGTCCATGGCGGAAGCGGTAGCCCTGGACTCCTGGGAGCTGAGAAGCGGACCGTCGCGTGTCATCGGCGGGCGAACGACGAAGAGAACGGCGAGGCTGCTGCCTGGGCGGGCACCCGTGCAGCTGGCGGGCGGCTGCGCCTGGGCAACTCTCACGGGGCGTCTCGAACCGCCCCCCTGAGCCAAAATGGCTTGATCCAAAATGGCTACGGAAGGAGAAAGAGGAGGAGGCGAAAGAGGAGGAGGAGGAGGCGGAGGAGGATGAGGAGTCGTCGTCGTCGCACCCATTCGAGCTCAAGTTCGTCTGCTGGCAACTGACTGCTGCTACGCTCTGGGCCTCGGCTGTTTCGCCTGAACTCTGAAAAGGGGACTCGCGTTTCCGAGCCAGCCCAAGACACGCGATATTACTTCTGAGCGGGGGCGGAAACGGTGGTACGGCGTCCAGCCCCTGGCTGGTACGCCCCGCGCGGGGCGGGCATTCATTTCAGTGGGCTAGCCAGGTCTACCGTCGACCACGGCAGAGTGGGCGCGCACGCGACCCCACCCTGCTGCAGCACAAAGGCAGCCCCCCTAACCCGTCATCTACTTAACACGCTCTATCCTAGCTTCACTTGACGCACGAGCTTGCCCCTGGGGGCACGGCCAGCTTTATTGTTAAAGCCTGCTGCTCGGAAGATTCGATACAGAGCCTGCTCTACTGCGATCACTTTCCCGTGTCCTAGCTGGGCGAACTCGAGCGGACTGCGAATGACTCGAACCTCTGCCCTGCGCTTTTCTCCCTCCTCCACGTCCTTGTCCTCTAACACCTTCCACGGACTCTCCTGCTCCTCGTATGCGTTGGGCCCTGCCTGGCTGGGATCTGGCAGCGTGATAAAGCCCGGGACCTTGACCGTAATCCTCGAGATGCTGCTGTCTGCCGTCGAGCTGGTTCCACACTCCTTGATCCACGTCCTGGCCTGCTCCTGATCTCCTTTCATCATCATTAAGAGCAGCCTGCGAGGAATATCCGCCAACTCCTTCACCGAGTCCTGAGCCTTGCCTGGCTTGTCGAGCCAATTGTTGACAGCGCTGAGAAGTGCGGCAAAATTCTGCAATTCTGGCGGACCGAGCCCGTGCGTGTTGTTCTTGCCCTCCACCTTCTTCTGGTGCTCCTGGTAGGTCTGCTTCAACGTGTCCACGTACTGGTCGTCGCGATAGGAACGCAGGAGAAGCAGCTGAATTCCAAGGACCTCAGGTACTGCTCGTCGTTCTGGGGTTTCTCGGAGGGCTGGAGCTCTGGAGCATTGACGAATAGATCGTGTGGAATCAGTGTCTGGTTTAACAAGAAGATGTTTAGACCCAATCACCTTCGGGGAGTGGCGCCTGTACCTAAAGGTCTCCAAGGACGGGTCCTGGGATGTAAGCTGGAGAGGCAGTCGGTTCGGTTCGCGGTTTTCGCCCTCTACTTCCCGCCGTGCACCAGGGACAAAGATCAGCTTCTCAAGTGCACGAACTGTTGTGAGAGAATGATTAGATGGCTGACTCAGCAGCTGGACGCCCTGGCGGGCAGGTGGATTCCCATCCTCACCATGGACCTCAACTCAACGTTTTGTGAGGAGCTTGAAGGTGTGGTCGGTCCGTATGGCCTCGGCTCAGACGAGAGGCGAACAGCCCAGATACTTAAGCCTGTGCTCGAGTCTTACGGCCTATGCCTTGCCAACGCGATGGCAGATGCTGGCTATGCCTTCGTCGCCTCCTGTGGCGCCCGCAAGACGCTAGACTACATAGCATTGCCGCAGGGGCTTCTTCCAGCGATGAGATGGTGTACTACCTTTCGGCGCAGCATGCGCAGACTTCAGCCGCGTCGATGGGGGCGAGAATGGGATTATCTACCGCTGGGGCTTGGACTCGAGTGGGTGACGGACATGACTCCCGCAGTTGTGCGCCAATCGGAGCGCATCGAGCCTGCGGCTGCCCACGCCCTACTCCAGCGGGGATACAGAAGGAACGAGTTCATGGAAGCAGTGACCACCACGATCGAGCAGAAGGCGGCCTGGCTCAACTCCCAGACTGGATATACACTCGCAGTGGAGGCCAACGACCTACTAGTCCAGGCCATCACCAACGCGGCGCTCACCACCTGCACACAGAAGGAGGGACCAGGGAGCTCAAAGGCCTGCTTCACCAGAGAAGGCAAGTGCGCGACCGACTGGCCTGGGCGAACCAAAAGGATGACGACGACCTTCAGCTGCAGCTTACTGTGCGCATCACGACTATCAGCAAGTGGCTCAGACAGCACAAGAGGTGTCATTGGCAGCGGGTACAGCAAGATCGAGTTGCAGCGTTTGAGGAGGCCCGCAAGGCCAAGGACTTCCACGAGGTGCATAGGTTGGCTCGTCTCATCGCCGCGCGAGGGAGAGGACCACGACGGCGTAACTACAGACAGCTCAACACCAGCGGAACGACACAGGAGTGGACTACCAGGATGCAACAACCTGGGGCGGAGGGTGGGGCTGCAGCGCGAATCGTCAGCTTCAATGACATGAATAATATGCTACACGAGCTGCCCGAGGCCTACACTTCGGTCACGGCGGAGGAGGTCAAAGAGGACATCGACGCTTTCAAGAACCAGGTGTGGCGTCTCAGACTTTGGCGAGTCGCACCTCAGGACAGCATCATCGCGGAGCTCCTCCGCACGGCCATGTTCCCCAACTGGATCAACAAGCGTAGAGCGACTCACCACCACGGCGTCGGCTACGAGCAGCAGGAGCGCATTTCGGCCAACTCTGTTTATTTCCTGCTCGCCTGCTTGTTCACAGGTATCCGCACCAGTGGCAAGCTCCCGTTGTCCTGGATCCTGTCCGATGCCTGCAAGATCGGCAAGGGCAACAACAAGGAGGGCGTGGATGGCGAACGACTTATCATGCTAGTGTGTACCATCGCCAATACGTACTACCGCAGCCTCCTAGCCCGAGGAACACCACCTGCCCTTGAACCATGGATCTACGGTTGCCTCAGAGGGCGACGGAGGGAGGCGGCAGTGGTTGTGCAGCAGGCGTATTCTTGGCGCAAGCTTCAGGCGGGGCAGTCCCACATTAAGAGGTTGCACGACGCCACCAACGCTTTTTACAGTATAGACCACGACACCTTATGTCACGAAGTGGAACGAGTTTTTCGAGAGGAAGATTGGCAGATTATGAAGTTTCGAGTCACGCTTGCATGTTTTCGGCTACCAGGTGCTGATAACGAAGTCCTTTGGTTGCAGCAGGGATGCATGCCTGGAGATCCAGCCATGGTCCGACTTTTTGTAGGTGCCTATGCCGGACAAATGGGAATGGGTACGATTAATATTTATAATTACCGAGCTGCCAGTTTTAAGTGCCCATGGTCGTCTCAGTGGATTCAAGGTTCTTTTACTGTGTATGTGGACGACGTAGCCGACAATTTTGATGTCAATAATAACGCAGTCAGTGTCATGGCGGACGGAGACTCTCAGAACGAAGTCCTCACTGAGAGGCTCGCCGAAATTCAGATGACTCAGAATGTAAGCAAGCAGGAGAATGTAGTTTTTTTTTCGCAGGCGCCAACGCAGCTTTCTTGGAAGCGAAGTTCCTCAGAGATCAGGAGCTAGCTGGGCGTACGACAGTATGTGCACGCTATTTGGGCCCGCGCATACACTCGAGGTTTGCATTGTGTGAGATTGAGTACAGACTACATGCTGGGCGCACAGCCTGGTATAATCTCTCTAAGTTTTGGCAGAGTGCAGTGTCTCTTGGTTGGAAGATCAACATGCTCAAAGGGTATGTGGCCAATGCGTGTTACAGTGGAGCGGAGGTCCTGTGTGCACGAGCGGGCCCCATGCGTCCGCACGACTGGCAACCCATTCTTCGCTTTCTTGCTATGCGTGCACGGATACTGCTGCGAGGTACAGCACAGTGGCAGGAGGACGGCTCCGTTCGCACCCTCACCAACCTACAGGCCCTTGCAAAAGTGCGCCTCGTGGCCCCACATGTGGAAATGAGAGTTCGAAGGTTCCGATGGCTCCAAGCGTGTCTACGAGAGGCCCCACGGTGTGCTCAATTTCTAGCGGTCGTTTTCGGGTGCTCTCGGGACGAGGATATGACCGAGCTCGAAAAGTATCTGAGCAACGACGCGAAGGCGAACCCGTGGTGCGAACAGTTCTGCGAGGACATACGAGCGATCGAACTCTTCGATGACGGGGCGAGGCTGTTGGAGATCTATGGGTTGGAGGGAATACTATTCGAGGGGAGGGAGGAGTTCGTTCAGTTGGATGTGGGAGGGATCGTATCGCACTATTTCCTCAACGTCGCACAGCACGAGAGGAGGCAGGAGGAGATCGAGAGCGGAGGACCCCATCAATGCAAGGCCCTGCGAGCCGACGGAGGATGATGAGGAGGAGGATGAGGAGGATGAGGAGGAGAAGAAGGGCGGTGACAAGGCAGAGGGCAAAGGAAAGGAGGAAGAACGCGATGATGCGGACGACCGTGGTCTTCCCCCCTCTCCTCTGACTTGCCTGGCCGTGCCCACCGCGAAGCGGTCGTTTATCGAAGGCACACAAGTTCAAGTCTTCTCCTGTGTCAGCTGGCAGCATGGCCCGCGTGCGGCCGTCCAGAGCGCCCCCCGCCACCAGGGCGCGGCACTCCGTGGACGTGTCGGCATACGCGAAGACCAGGCCGTTGCAGCTGCTCGGCTGCTGGCCAGACTCCTGCCCCACCGCGCGCACCAGCGCTGGGGGGGCTGGCGGCCGGGCGCCGGCGTGGTCGCTCTCGGCTGCCCCGAGGCTGCCAGCATCGACGCCAGAGCCCGTCAAGGCGACACCCATCAGCAAGCTCGCTGCACGCGCTGCGGGCGCCCCACGCGCCCACATCCGCGAAAGAGGTCGCGCCCCGCTGCGGCGGGTCGCGGTACCGAAGCCTCCGCGAACGCTCTGCGCTGCACCCTTGCTGTGGGGGCGCTGCCGGGCCCGGAAAAAGAGCCTTGGCAGCTGCGGAGGAACAGCCCCAATCTCCCACGATCTGCTCTCTTAAATTCCGGCGTGCCACCTCGAATTCGCTTTCTGGGGCCCGTTGTTGGGCCTGGGGGCCGTCAGCCAGGGATGCGATACGGAAAACTACGAAGCGGTCGGGACCTCTCTGGCAGCGGAGTGGACAAATCATATCGGAGGGTGTCTGGGGAAGGGGATGGCGGAGGGGAGGCTGAGGAGGGTAGCCGAGGCCGCCCATCGCGCCACCACAAGGAAGGCCGAACAAGAGGTGAAAGGGCTTTCCTGCCCATGGCGACTCAGCCAGGAAGAGAGGAGATTCAGCAAAGCGAGCGCCAGAAGCGTGCGCGCTCCGCCAGGGAGCCCACCCGTGCCGGACGGGGGGGGGGCAACGGGGGTGATGCCCAGAGGAAGGCTGGGGAAAAGCACCGAGGCCGGGCGAGAGCGCTCGCCCCGAGGAAGATAAATGAAGGGGCCTGGGACACACAAATACATGCACACAAGTGAAACTATTCCCATATTTCCCCATATTTTCTGTGTTTTAGTCTTCCCCCCCACTTCCCATACTTTCCCATATTTTCCGGGGGGTCGACGATTCATTGCGTCTGTGTGTTTTTTCCCCCTCCTGGATAGAGCACGGGGCGCTCGCGCCATGGAGGGGGGAGCAGCAGAAGCAGCATCAAAAGACACGCTGCCGCGGAGAAGCCAGCAGCGTGTCCCGTGGAAGAAACACTGGGCCTCACGAAGATGAGAACGCCGAATTCGTTGAAAGTGATGTTGGTTTGGGGATGATGGTGGCTTCGTGGGGGCCTCTGAGGGGCTGTCTGGGACCACCTTGGTCCTACTCGAGGCTATCTTGAGGCCTGCCACCCCTTGATGATCGCTGTCGGAGCTTCCTTGAGGCGCCTCACGGCGAAACGAAGGAGCAACACGCCGACGGGCTCCCGGCGGCGGCGCGTCATTGATGCCCTTCGGCCCTCCCGAGTAGAGAGCAGGGCGCTCGCTCCAACGGGGGCTGGCCATCGCTCGGACGTCCACTCCCTGTGTTTTCTTCGGTTTCGTGCGTGGCTTTTTCGCAGGATGATCCAGGATGCTCCTCAATAACCCCCGCCAAGGAAAAAGTGCACACGTCCGAGCGATACCAAAGGGGGAGGGCAGCACGACTTCACACGAGGAGTGGGCGCGGTGCGAAGTCGGGATCGCGGGCTTGCTGTCCACAGGCCCAAAGATGTTGCGAGGCCAGTGTCCTGGGGTGCATTTTGGGATCGCGAGCCGAAGGTGCGCTTGCACGCCAAAGAACCAGGGCTGTGGCGAGGGAGCCGTTGCCAAGATGAGCACGACAAGCAGGCGGGAACAACTTATGCAAAAGAGAACCTTCGCCATGCGAGAGCGTTCGCCACTCGCAGACCAGAACAATCGCGACGGTGCCGTTGACCAAACACATGTTACGTGTCACCAAGTCGTGGGCCCCGAACAATGGCCCAAACATCATGACCAAACTCCTGTGGCGACCAAATATCCCGGCATTCGAGCTACGATCCAGAGGCGAAGACCCACCCTACGGCGACAAAGAACCCTGATAGGACTGATCGCAACCTGAACGATTCCTATACAAACGTGTCAGGGGAACACCGGATTGCAACCGATCCAAGAGCTCCTGCTGAGGCCCCTGAAAGGCTTCTCTGAGGCCTCTGCGAAGCATCTGCGAGGATTCTGAGAGGCCTCTGCGAAGCCTCTGCGAGGCTTCTGAGAAGCCTATGCGAAGCCTCTGCGAAGCTTCTGAGAGGCCTCTGCGAAGCCTCTGCGAGGCCTCTGCGAGGCTTCTGAAAGGCCTCTGCGAGGCCTCTGAGAGGCCTCTGAAAAAAAAAAGGCTTCTCTGAGGCCTCTGCGAGGCTCCTGAAAAAAACTTCCGAGAGGCCTCTGAAAGGCTTCTCTGAGGATTCCGCGAGGCTTCTCTGAGGCTTCCGAGAGGCCTCTGAACGGCTTCTCTGAGGCTTCTGAAGGGCTTCTCTGAGGCTTCTATGAGGCCTCTGCGAGGCTTCTCTGAGGCCTCTGAGAAGCCTCTGAAAAAAAAAAGCTTCTCTGAGGCTTCTGACAAGCCTCTGAACAAAAAAGCTTCTCTGAGGCCTCTGCGAGGTTTCTCTGAGGCTTCTCTGAGGCCTCTGCGAGGCTCCTCTCAAGCTTTTGAAAAGGCCTCTGGAAGGCTTCTTCGGGGCTTCTGAGAGGCATCTGAAAAAAGAGGCTTCTCTGAGGCCTCTGCGAAGCTTCTCTGAGGCTTCCGAGAGGCCTCTGAACGGCTTCTCTGAGGCTTCTGAGAGGCCTCTGACAAGGTTTCTCTGGGACCTCTGCGAGGCTTCTCTGAAGCCTCTGCGAGGCTTCTCTGAAGCCTCTGAAAAGCTTCTCTGAGGCCTCTGAAAAAAAAAAAGCTTCTCGGAGGCCTCTGAATGGCTTTTTCTGAGGCCTCTGAAAGGCTTCTCGGAGGCGTCTGAGGCCTGGGAGGCTTCTGAAAAAAAGGCTTCTGAAAAAAGGCTTGTGAGAAGCTTCTGCGAGGCTTCTGAAAAAAAAGGCTTCTGCGGGGCTTCTGCGAGGCTTCCGAAAGGCTTCTGAGAAGCTTCTGAGAGGCTTCTGCGAGGTTTCTGAGAGGCTTCTGCGAGGCTTCTGAGAGGTTTCTGCGAAGCTTCTGCGAAGCTTCTGAGAGGCTTCTGAGAGGCTTCTGAGAAACTTCTGATAGGCTTCTGAGAGGCTTATGCGGGGCTTCTGCGAGGCTTCTGAAAGACTTTGAACTTATCCCTCCGAGAAGTCTTTTCATCCTGAGATGTGTTTGTTCCTGGTTGCGTTGCGCTAGAGGGTTCTAATCGTGGCAACGAAGGGCGCCAATGGTTTCAAAAAACCCCCCACGTCCCACAGGTCGCACAATTCCACAGTTCCCACAGATCGCACAGCCATGGTTCCCACAACCACCACAGGCCCAGACCGCTTGGCGTCGTGAAAACATATGTGTTTGTTCCGGGCTCGGGGGGCCATCGCCGGGCCCAAGGGCCGTCCAAAAGTGACTCAGTATGCAATGCCGGTCTACTGTAGGTTCATGCGACGTTGGCGCGCTGGCGACGTTGGCGAAGGCGTTCAAGGCTGCATTCTGCGACGCGGAAGCACCGAGGGACACGTTGGGCCCACTGTACCCGACGAAATTCGCCATTGAACGATCGGGGCCGCGATCGATTCAAGGTTGAATGGTCCACGCGGTGCCAAAAGCCTTGCGGGTGCCGATGCCGTACGGACCTACCGTAGGGGAATTCGTCCAGACCTCTGGGGGTCGACGTCCTGGAAAACTCATGACGTTGGGGGTCTGGGCCGCCGCGTCTACCCGCCTTGCCATCCTGTCCTCGTCCGTTTCCCCCCCCTCCTCCTCTTCCTCCCCCCCTCCTCCTCCTGCTCTTGTTCCTCCTGCTCCTGTCTCTTCTCCCTCCCCTCGTCCTTGTCCCTTCCTCCTCCCCCCCCTCCTCCTCCGCCTCCTCCTCCTCTTCCTCCTCCTCCTCCTCCTCCCTCTCCTCCTCCTCCTCCTCCTCCTCCTCCTCCTCCTCCTCCTCCTCCCTCCCCATCCTCCTCCTCCTCCTCCTCCTCCTCCTCCTCCTCCTCCTCCTCCTCCTCCTCCTCCCCCTCCTGAGATGCAATTTGTTTCACGCCAGGCGTTTTCGCTCAAGTTCGGTTTTAAACCGTATACGAATCACATAGGAATCGTATACGGATCACTGCGCCCGTTCGAACTCCAATACATGTGTTTAGCTGAAGTCATGATCGGCCGTCAGTGATCGGACCGATCGTAACCGCTTTTTCAGATTCCCATTGGTCGGCTTAAGGGAACTCATTGGACCAAGAAGCGCTCTTATGATCTCTTCCTTGATCAAAGCTTTATTGAAACGACCCAGAACCATCGCAGCCACTTCGGACCGATCGCAACTGGTTGCGATCCGACCGAAGTGGTTTACCATCAGTCCGATGTGGTTGCGATCGGTCGTGCTCGCGCTCCCCGACGGGTCCAAAACGGCCGTTTACAAAATCAGTGCTCCCCGAGGCCCCTGGGCCCCCCTTCCCATTTATATATACACACCTATATCTGTCTCTGTGTATATCTGTATAGCACTAGGAGCATATATATATATATATGTATATGTATATATATATATATATATATATATATATATATATATATATATATATGCTCGCCCCCATGATCATACACATTCTCACTCCATCCCTCCGGTCCTCCCTCCCCCTTCCCTCTTCCTGCTCTTCTTCACCATGTTTTGCTACGTTGCCAGCCGCAACCTAGTCGATTGCAATCTAAACCGATGTAGTCAAACACATTGCACGCACCGACTCGAAGGAAAGCCAAAGGGTTGCATTCCAAACACTTCAATGCGAAACGACTGCAATCTTTTGCGGCGCATTGAAATCCAATCGGCTGCGTTGAAACCGATTAGTAGGAATCCTTTTGTTGAGGATCTTCTCCCCCCTCCTCCCCCTCGTCCTCATGCGCCTCATCTTCCTCCTCCTCCTCTTCCTTCTCATCCGCCTCATCTTCCTCCTCCTCTTCCTTCTCATCCGCCTAGGTCTCCTTGTTGTGAAAGGTTTCAACGCGAACCCTTCTGTGAAGGATTTCTATAGGACTCCTTCTGTGAAGGATTTCAATAGGAATACTTCTGCGGAGGACTTCAATAGGATCATTCTGTGGGAGATTTCCATAGGAATCATTATGTGGAGGATTTCTTCCTTCCTTCTCCTCATCCGCCTCATTTTCCCTCACCCTCCTAATCCGCCTACTTCTCCTTCTTGTGAAGGGTGTCACCCCGCCATGGAGGATTTCACTAGGAATCCTTCTGTGGTGG